TGTTTTAGACAGCAAAGGTGCTGTAAATAAAAGACCTTAGAGCATCCCTTTGCAGAGGAGATAGTCTGAAGCAAACTTGCTGAAAATAAAGCACCATCATCGGCATCTTGGGAATTTGTTATTGTGTGTGAGGCACAATGATAAAACTGTGTGTGGCAACATCTGAGTTCTCAGAACAACTCTATGAAAGAAGGCCTTTTATTAGCCCCATTTTACATACAGGAAACCTAGGGAGGCTACACAGGCCACCCAGAATAGCACAAATGAGAAGGGGAGGAGCAGAGGTTCAAGCCACACACCATCCCAATGCCGACCCTGCCCTACAGACCACAGTGGCTGGAGGGCCAGAGTGGGCCCAGCCGTTCCATTCTCTGAAGTTCTTTCATATGCAGTGTGGGCTGGGGGCTGGGGGAAATGCTTATACATAGTTTGCCTTTCCAGCCACCCCAGGATTGTGAGCTGCTTAAGATGCTATGTTTCTTCCACTTACACATTCAGCACCAGATATACAGTCAGGCCATTGGTAATGGATCAATTAATGTGCACCAGGTTAGAGAATTAATGAATTTATCCAAAAGTCATGATCCCTTTGGCAGTTTTTAAGTTTGAAGTAAATGACACCACACTACCAATTTGTATAAATATCAAAATTCCAATATAATTTAGTTTCCCAAAATATCCATGTATCCACTTAAAAGGAAGAGTCATTCCAAATTATCATCCACATTCCACCCACCCTAACAGATACACCAGCCAGTGCTTGGACAAAATGAGCTCAGAGTAATTATAGAATTGTCCTGGACAATAGATATCAACTTAAATGAGATTCATGTCTACTAGTGACAGATTCCTGGCCTTTGTCATCGGCATAATTCAGTTGAAGGATCCTGGGGAGAACTGCAGATGAAACACTAAATAGCAAGGGCATATATTCAAGGAATTTCCTTATTTCCTAATACTTGTGATGTAAAGTTAATTATCCAATGTACAGCTTTCAGGAGCCGGGGATTTAGCTCAGAGGTTCTGCTGCCTGCCTTGCAAGCACAAGGTCCCAAGTTCGATCCCCGGTACCCTCCCCCCAAATAAACAATATATGCCCTTCAAAAGTAAGAAGTTCTCATTAACTTCAAACACTCAGTCCATTTTGTTTCTTTTCAAAATCATAGCCACTCAGGTCTCATACACACTGTGTCAGATAAATTAGGTGTCATCTCCATCTAGGTTTGCAGATGCACAGTCCTGTGCTGCAGAAAGACATTTTAGTCAAGGACAGACTGACTATATGACAGTGATCCTAAGAGAATGTAATGGTGTAGAAAAAACTCCTATCCCTGGAGACATCACAGCATCCTGACACTGAAACACAATGCATTACCACGTGTCTGATGATGCCAGTGTAAACAAACCCACCGTGTTGACAGGCATAGAAAAAAATAGCGTGTGCAATTATGCACGGTACAGAATACCTTTAATGATAACCGATGACTATATTAGTGCCTTATGTATTTACCATGCTATACTTTTTATTGTTTTAGAGTCTGCTCCTATCTATTAAAATGTTTGCTATAACGCAGTGTGCTGTTCGCCAGGAGCAGCCTCCTAGCAGTGTGCCCAGCGCGCCTCCTGTCAGTCTCCGTCCTGCACCTGGTGTGGTCTCACGCTGCTGTGGTCACTGTGACCCTGGCTCACCTGCACACACTCCATGTAGCCCGGGTGTGTCGCAGGCTCGCCCACCTCGGTGGCTGTCAGCGTACTCTGTGATATTAACTCAGCACTGACCCGTCACCTGGACACAGTTCTCAGAACAGAGCTCAGCCATTGTGCAGCACCTGACACGGGCGGGCAGGCCAGTTTCTGCCAGGAGCGGGTGGAGGTGTGGAGTTGAGCTCAGAGCAACCAGAGCTGGGCCACCTGGCTCACGTCCGAGCCTTGCCGTTGGCCAGCCGAGGGCCTGGCCAAGTTACCTGCTGCCCCTGGGCCCTGATTCTCCTCATCACACGCTGAGGGTGATAGTGAAGGTACCCAGTGCCAGGGGGGTCCTGAGAGCACTGAACGGAATGCCACACACAGAGCCATCGGGCAGTGCCTGTTTCTGGACAATACTTAAGAAAGGTTAAATATAACTGGCTTTGTGTTATCACCCATTTATCTTAGGCCCTTGGATCTCATGTGGAATAATGCAAGTTGAGGAGGGCCTAGCATTCAAAAGAGAGCCTTGCTAATAAAGTTGTTTGCTTTACTTACCAGTTTGATGTCTTACTGACTAGAGTTCCATTTCCACAGTCTAGATGTGACATTATCACTGTACTGAAAAACATATAAATATAACTGTTCTGTCTGGGACAAAATTGAAGAAAACAAACAAAACTCACCTACATATAGACACTATTGGACAAGAGGAAGGGGACCAGGGAAAAGAAGACATTAAGGAGGGTGGTAGATAAGACGAAGTATGAGACATGGTTGAAGTATACGGTGTATGTTTAGGTTTTTAAAACTTATTATAGCAAACATATTGCCAAAACTACTCCCCTGAAATACTCTCCATTGCTTTAAGTACATATAGCCCATCGTTCTTGTTCTTGCCACTTTCTGAGGCAGTTCTAGAAACCCTTTCATGAGTGACTTTTTGTGGCTGCTTCAATGTCTTGAATAGATGCAGATGTTTATGGCAATCTCTATCAAACAAAAACATCATGGTGTGTCCTCCTCCACTTTATTCACTAGATCTGGCACCCTGTGACATCTGACTCTTTCCTAAAATCAAAACAACCATAAAAGATAAAGATTTTGAGTTGAATTTGGACAGTGAGGCAGCCCAACAGCACAATGAAAGACCTGAAGAAAGAAAGCTTCCAGAACTGCTTCAGAAATGGGCAAGAATGATGGGATAAATGTGTCTGAAGTGTGTATGTGGGGGTTATTTTTTTTTTGGAACCAGGAATCGAACTCAGGACCTTGTGCTTGTAAGGCAGGCGGCAGAACCACTAAGCTAAATCCCCAACCCTTGTTGGGGGGTATTTTGAGGGGAATTAATGGCAATGACTTTTACTGTAATAAATTTTAAAAATTTAATCATTCACTATATTTTCCAATCACGCTTTGTATTTACATCCAGATATAAAAACATCACAATGAAACCCAATATTCTGTACAGTTAATATGTACTAATAAAAACTGACCCAAATGTAGAGATAATGAAAGTGATCAGTTATGATGATCTACTGTGTATTAGAATTTAATATAACTTATAATCTTTACTAATCTGCCCTGGATCCCACAGTTAGAAAGGACCTACGGCAAATCCTACTTTTTCTGACTGAAGCCCATATTATTATACATACCTCTCCTTCCTTTCACATTAGAATCACACGAGTACCTAGGACCCAGCCCACAGAACTGAATGAGAACCTCTGAGGGTGGAGGGAAAGCCCAGCCACCTATAGTTTGTAAATCTTTCCAGGTGGTGCTGAGAACTACTCACCTTGGTTCTGTTACCTTTCTGGAATGTGTAAAATAAAGATTAACTTGCAAGGCAATTCACTTTTCACATTATCTGTTCCATTATTTTAAAGGCGCTTAAACAAAGGCTACCTCATTTAACCAATGAACTAATTTTCCCTTCTTAGAAAGCCAGCCACCCAACTTTTAATGAAGAATCCCACATCACTTCAGTTTGTTTCTAGAGTCTGGGTCATAAAATTTTTCTGGTGATTATTTTTTTCAATTTGAAAATTATTTTTGAGAACTACCCTTTGAAAGTTACAAGAGTTATGTAAAGAAAAATGAGCCACTGTGCTTCTCAGGGAGCTTGTGGTCATTTCTGCAACAAATATCTATTGAGCATTTTATTAATTCTGAACACTGTGTGAAGTATTAGGGATACAGTGGCAAACAGTGATAATGTCCCCCAAAGTCCTGCGTATCCAGAGGTGGGGCTTTGGGGGGCTGATTGGATCATGGGGGTGGTACACTCATCATAGATGAATCCACAGATGAATCTATAGCTGAATGTGCTGCTAAAAAGTGGGAAGAGGCACGTCACCGGGGGGCGTCACCTGGAAGAGTATACCTGCCACCCCTGTTCCTCCCCTCGAACTCTGCTTCCTGACTCCCACGACGTGAGCGTGTTTCCACCATGCATGGCACTGCTGTATTTCAGCCTGCCAACAACAGACTGAAACTTCTGAAATGGTGAGCCAAAATAAAGCTCTTCTCCCTTAAGTTGTAGGTGCCAGGTATTTTGTCCCAGCAATGAGAAAGTGATGAGACAAGTGAATATATGACTCTTGCCTTCTTGGAATTTATAACCTGGTAAGGAGATGGGTGATCGACATGGAAGTCAGTATAGTAATATATAACCACGAGGTATAGAAAATGTAAGCAGAGAGGGTGCCCCTTACATTGGGTGGTCAAGAACCATGCTGTTTCCAGGAAACAGCTTCAAAATTGGGAGACTAGTTGACAGATGTCTGGTTTTTCATAATAACTAATTTCATAGCAACAAATGCACTCCATGTATATGCTTGAGTTCTGTTTTTCTCTCCATAGAATGCTTTCGAGATGCATTCATTTTGTCCTATGTATCAGTACATTAATTATTAATGCTAAGTAGAATGTCACTGTATAAAAATGCTGCTGATGATTTGTATACAGATAAAAGTTTAAGAATTACTGAATTAGATTTTTGGAGAGGAAGTCAAGAATAGAGAGCATTGTCTAAGCAGAAAATGACAGAACTTCATTCTTACAGGATTTTAGGATGATTCACTGATGGTACAGGACTGGCCTTTCCTCCTAGATCTGTCTGCTTTATAATGAATCGGTGTCACAAGGTTTAAGTACTACGGGACATCGCCACTGCCACGTGTTCTCTGCCATTCTCCGGCCAAGGCGCCCACTTTAACCCCGACAGGCCAACAGTTGTCGCAGTCCCCCCAGCCTCATACGGACAAAAGCCAGTGATTGAGTAGAAATCAGGCCTCACTGGAACCCTGAGCAGAGGTTGGACAACTGCTTCTCAGGAACTCAGGAAACTCATGCATCAGAAAAGGTGACTCATAAATAAACCAAAAGAATATGGCTGCACAGATATCAGAATCTGATCAGAGAAAACAGTTTAGGGAATTCCTGGGAACCTACAATAAACTTACAGAAACCTGCTTTTTGGACTGTGTTAAAGACTTCACAACAAGAGAAGTAAAACCTGAAGAGATCCCCTGTTCAGAACATTGCTTACGGAAATATTTTAAAATGACACAAAGAATATCCATGAGATTTCAGGAACCCCATATTCAGCAAAATGAGGCCCTGGCAGCCAAAGCGGGACTTCTCGGCCAGCCCCGATAGAGAAGTTCCAGTGGCTGAGCTCTGGGTGGAGGCTGCCATGGCTGTTGCCCTGGGAAAGAGGACTCATCAGGTGGAATCCCTGGAAGTGGTGGGCACCATGTTGAGCCATCTGTCATGACTCTTTGGCAAATGGAAACCACCGGAAAAACAAAATTGCTGCTCACCAGGAATAATCAAAATAGAGGATCTTATTGCTCAGCGAAAATAATAAGGTGCAACATTAAGGTTGAGGCCTTGAGATTCAGTAGCTTGGTAACTTAATTAGAAAAATAAGCCACTGTTTCTTCAACTGTGACTGTTAATTTTAAAGCAAAATATGTGTTCAATCATGTACGAGAAAAACATTACTGAAAGTGAAATAAATGGGAATATCACTGAGGGGAAAAAAAAAGAATTACTGAATTAGATTGTTGGTTTCTTAGTCATTACCAGTTCAATTATTTAAATACAGGATGACCAAATACTGGTTTTCTTCATTAATCTTTGTAAGATAACATAACAGGAAATACAAAAACAACAATTTTATCAAATTTGTTCAATACAAGAATTGACTGGTTGAAATGGCACCTGGCTGAGTGACGATCAGGACAGCACACAAACAAATGTGCTGCCTGAGTGACACTGGAGAAAACTGTTAAGTGGTCACGGGCACAGACAATACCTAGTGAATTTATTATCTTTACACATATAAAACCTATTTTCTCTCTATGTCCCTACCCACAATATTCAAATGAATTTTTTAAAATTTAAAGTAGGCCTTCATTTGAGGCACCAGGAGATGAGAATGAGTGATTCAGTATAACCACAGAGGCAATTATTTGGGTAGAGGGCAAAGAATCCGAGCACAGCACTGCGTCTCTTGGGCCTTAGACTCTAAAACTGCGCGTTTCTAATATTAAAACTAAATGTCTCTGATGTGAGCAGATATTACCCTACTCATAAACATATCCACAATTGGTTCTTACTCTTTAGCGGTAAGATTATTTATTTAAAATTTGCATGCTTTAAGAGTGAAGATACTAATGTAACATCCTAGGAAAAACTACGTTTGCTCTGTTCATCTTTCTTCCTCTGTGGCCTGAATCATAGTACTTAGAAGCTAGTAGGTGCTCAGTGAATGACCCTGGAATTGAACTGAATGTAGACAGACTGCTTTAATATGAATGTTTACTGTGTATTTTTTCAGAATAATTAGTTTGGGCAGTGTTCAAAGAAATCCTTACCCAGCCTGAATTTTTATGTAGGGCACATTTCTGAGCTGAGATTGATGTTCCTCTACGTCTCCCATGAAAGCAGACTAACATTTAAAACAGTCAGTATGTCAGAAGCAGTCTGGGAAATGTCGGCACGGTTTGTGATTACGAGCTGGTGTAAATGAAGAAAACAAACTTCTCTTAATAAATGAAGCTTAAGCAGGCTGTGAAAACCTATTCAAATGAAAGAAGACTGACAACTCAACCAAAAGGCTTAGCTATATTATTGCCTATTAAAATTTACTCATTAACTATGGGACAAAGCCATCAAGAATGATTCCATTTTGATGGGAGGCAGTTACAGGACAGTTATTGAGCTCTCAACTCAGGGGCCACGTGGAATTAGGTCTGCTGTTTCCTACCTAAGACCTTGGTAATGCACCTAACTTCTCTGAACCTCAGTTTTCTTACCTGTAGAGAGATAATGATGCTAACATCCCCAATGGGTTATATACTCTAAGTTATACACTAGTGTCTTACTAGACAAACTGTGAATGGAAGAACAGCAATTTATTTATTTATTTATTTATTTTGGTACTGGGGATCGAACTCGGGACCTTGCGCTTGCGAGGCAGGCGGTAGAACCACTGAACTAAATCCCTGTCCACAGCAGTTTAGATATGTAGAATTTTAAGGCCAACCCCAGGTCTACCAAACCACACTCCTGGTGACTTATATGCACATTATAGTTTGAGAAATGTGTTTCTAAAGCATGATACATATGCCAAGTATATAGTAAATGCTTAACAGTAGTAGCTATTGTTTTATTTCATTAAAAATATAAATATAAAATAGTTCCATCCTCTCCCAAGGGTTAGCCAGACATATTTCTTTGTATATTACATATGTCTTTCTGTTTGTTTTAGTTTTTTATTTTAATGTAATATAAGTAGATATTAATAAAGAAAATATAAAAACTTTCATCTCCTCGGTACTCTCACCATTCCAATGATTAATTATCCTTTGATATATGTACAGTATTCAGTATAAATACAGCTTTCTTAGTTTTTGTTTGTTTGTTTGTTTTTGGTACCGGGGATCGAACTCAGAACCTTGAGCTTGTGTGGCAGGTGCCAGAACCACTGAGCTAAATCCCCGGCCCACTTTCTTAGTTTTGACAACTATTTTCTTTTTTTTTGGTACCTGGGATCGAACTCCAGTCCTTGCGCTTTTGAGACAGGCAGCATAACCACTGAGCTAAATCCCTGGCCCATTTTCAAAACTGAGGTTCAACAGTAGACATTCATCGCCAAAAATGTAGCTCTGATTTCTTTGTAGACTGCAAACTTACAGCTTTATCAAAATTGGCAGGCTGATGTTAAAATGAAATACTAATTGACCTTTCTCTCTCCCCATAGCCATGAACAGTGGATATTGGTTTTAAATGGATTCTTCACACTTTGGCAGCTTGATTACAACTTTCTACACCCTAAATAGATAGCAAAAGGTGAAACATAAGGGCATCGAGAGTGAAAACTGAAGAGCTGATCATTTCTAGTTCCCTTGAGAAAACATTAGTGATAGAGTCTGTTGGGTGTGGGATAGCAATGCTTTCCTTGTGGGTTTGTGGCCTTCAGCATCAATATATTTGTGAACACTGTATGAAAACCTCTTACAGAAACAAGTTGTTTAGCATTTGGCATTGAGAATTCTGTCTCCCATGGGTAGAAAGCTGGACACAGAGCAATAAGCATGCACTCCTTATGAGCTTCCAACGGACAGTATAAACACCTGAATTGTCCAGAGCAAATGGACTAAGGACAATGTCAGTGTGTAAAGAGTCCATTTACTGGAGTCTCTTCTAAGAGGTGTCCAGTGCTTTTCAATTCTAATGAGCCTGTCTGAGCTGTCACTCTTCTCTGCCTCTCTGACCTCCTAAGAGTCGCCCCAGCCCATAGCACGGAAGTCAGGAGACACACGGTTTGCACAGTGTTGTCTGCAGCCAAAATGAAAAAGCAAGCGTTAACTTCAGCTGCCACTCTCTGTCCCATCCCCAAACAGATACTTCCTTCTTGGGTCTTTTAGCCCCACTTTTAACAAGTTTACCTTCCTAGGGCTCTTAGGGTGCTGTGAGCTTCTCTTATCATACATGAGGAACCTAATAAATTAACTCACACCATATAGTAGTGTCTGATAACACTCCTCTATTGTTTAAGTTATGAAATGTTGGGGGCATAAACCAAAGACACAAAGGACAAGCTTCTTACATAGTACCCTCCAAAGACCTCCTGTCTCCCAGAGAAGAAAGCCTCATCTCCAGGACCAGCTCCAGCGCTGCCACAGCCACTTTCCCGCCAGCCGTGCCCCGCCCTGGCTGTCCTGTCTCCCTGGGCCAGAGCGGAGCCAGGAGCCCTCTGCGCTCACTTTGCCTTTGATATGCTGCTCCTGACATGGTGGCTTCCTTCCCTGGTTGCTTCAGGCCTCAGAAATGCTTCCTCATCAGAAGGCATCCCCTGGCCACCCCAAGTGAAGTAGCTCCCCCACCCTGTCTCAGCACCCCCTAACCTGCTTACTTCCTCCGTAGCCCTGATCACAATCTTAGAGTATATATTTTCTTATGTATGTGCTATCTGGCTGCCCTAACTGAAATGTTAGTTATATAAAGTCCGGGATTTTGTCTGGTTTGGTTTGGTTTGGTTTTGTCTGCTATGCCCCTGGAACCTAGAAAAGACCCTGATACAAAGAAAGGGCTCAATGATGAATAATTGTAATGAATGAATAATTTTTTCTTTATCTGTGCTCACCAACTATCTTAAGACAATTATAAATACACACAATGAATGAAATTGAAAATTATGGAGATATGTATATTGAATTCACCCTGTATCTATCCCAGTTCTGTCTCTGTCTCTTTCTGTCTGTCTCTCTCTCTCCCCTCTCCTGCAAGTAATCACTGTCTTGGATGTGGTGCTTATTATTTCCATAATTTCTTTGTCTTACAGAGATACGTATTCCCAAGCAATATCTAACATCCAGTAGCTGTGCACCACACTACCTGACAGTGTAGCATAGCACGGCACAGTACCACCTCCTGGAACAATAAAGCATAGCATAATGCAGTACAGTCGCACAGTAAAGAACAGTATTCTCCTACTCTGATGCACTCCCAATTCACCAGGGGAGCTTTCAAAAATCCCAAAGTTCAGCCCCACCCCCATGAATTTATCTGAAGTCTCAAGGATGGGGGCCCAGCCTGGTTTGTTTACAGCTCTGAGGAGTCGATGGGAAGCAGGATTGAGGCCCAGGGGATTGCCCAGAGACTGAGGTGAGAATGAACCAGTCTGCTGGGCTCAGCCCTGGCTCCACATCTCTCCAGATCTCATGTGTTTCGCAGACACCCAGACGGACCAGCACACAAACCTCCAGCAGAGACACTGACTGGAATCCAGTGCTAACCTCTTCATCTGACTACTCTTGGGCATTTTTTTCTGAAATACTGATTTCTCAGTCATTCTAAAACAGCTTTCCATCCAAGTCCTTGAGAGTCTTTCAAAAAAAATGGTCTGGTCAATTCCTTGCTTCATTAGTTTTTCTGAACTTGTAAAACTTCACGTATATTCACAGAAGAATGGACAAATCACAGTTGCACAGCTGGATGGACTTACAGGCCGAGCTCACCCACGGAACTAGCACTGCGTAAGACACGGGCCTCAGGGTGCCCTGGGCCCAGGCTCCTCAGCTCCCACAGCAAGGGCAGCTGCTGCCTTGATAGGCGGCTGGAATTCTACCTGTTTTTAATTTTACATA